GCACCCATATGTTCATCTCAGTACCATTCACAATAGCAAAAGCATAGAATCAACCTAAATGCCCATCAACTGTAGACTGGATAAAGAAAATATTGTACATACACGCCATGGAATACTATGCAGCCATAAAGAGGAATGAGATCATATCTTTTGCAGGGGCATGGGTGAAGCTGGAAGCCACCGTTCTTAGCAAACTAACACAGGAACAGAAAGCCAAATACTGCATATTGTCACTTGTAAGTGGGAGCTAAACTCCATACCCACTACAACCTGAGTGGATAATCACTGTAAGTCATAGTTACAGTATCGTGGTTACAAGCATGGAATCATGCTTAGACCACCTCTGTATGAATCCTGGCTCCTCAGTTTGCTAGCAGTATACATATTCTCTGGATTTTAGTTTATTTACTTGTAAAATGGAAATAAAAAGAGATTCTTAAACTCTATGGTTGTTGCAAGGATTAAATGAGTTAACATACGTAAAACATTTAAAAGAATGCCTTGGAGATAGTAAGCACACAGAAATTGTTAGTTATTCATGTCATATCCTTCAGGAGCATTGGGCTGGAAAAAGTTTGAGAAGAATTTTGGTGTGCTTCCTCCCCACAATAAAGCTATTAAGTGGGGCTACAGGTATCATGCAACAAGGCACATTAGGGCACCTGCAAATCCATGTGTTCCATCCTCAGCGGAATGAACTTGACAATTGAATTTTAGTGCTGCACTTGACAGTGTTTTTAATGTGTTCTTGGTCAGCCCCCTGTTTTATTCCCCATATTCGATATTCTGCATCTTTGTTCACTCCTCAAACCATGTATCTCACTCCACTTAACCACTTCCCAGTTGGGAAAAAAAAATAAAATCCCTCTACTCTGCATCTTTCTCAGACTGCCACCCTGTCTTTCCCTTTCTATTTACTGATAAGTACCTCAAAAGAGTATCACCTCATTCTCTCCACTTCCTCACTTTACAATCTACTGCACTCCAGATTATACTCTCATCGCTCCTCTGAGAGTGCTCTAGTATGAATCAACAACATCCTTGGAACTGGATCCTGAAGTCTTTTTGCAGCAACCTTGCTTATTTGATCCCTGCTCCATGGCCGTTGATTGTTGTCTACTGTCGGCTTCTGCCGTACCTCTCATGCCTGCTTCTCCTCCTCTTATCTCTTTGATAGTTCCTTCTCAATCCCTCCTGTAGTCTTTTCTTCTTCACACACCTAAAAGTTTGTCGTGCCTAGAGGTTTCACCTGTTGACCCTCTTATTTTTGCAGTCTATGAGTGTACACATCCAATGACAGTATTTTATTTACAGCAGTGATTAAGCCTGCAGGCATTAAGGCAAGAGTGACATGGGTTTAAATCTGACTCTGCCACTTACTAACTGTGCAAATTACTTAACCTCTTCTAAGCCTTGGTTTCCTCATTAGTAAAAAGGGGGCAAATATACTTCCTAAATTATAAAGTCTTTGTGAGGGTTAAATGAGATAGTGCTTGTGAAGCGATAGACACATAATAAATAATAAATGTTAAAGATATTAGTTCTAAATTCAAAGTCCAGCCTTTTCTCCTGACTTCAGTTTCATGTAACTGACAACCTACTTAAAGTATCTACCTGCATACCCTCAGAAATCTAAAGCTCACTATGTCCAAAACTACCCTCATAGTGGTTCCCTCCAATTTTGTTTTTCATCTGGTGTTCTCAAACTCGGTGAATGACATCACCATTTATCCAGTCACCTAAGCTGTAATAAACCTGCACATGCATACTCTTAGCTCCCTTTTGCTCACCCGCCACATGTTCAACTAGCAACTAAGCCCTATTTTTTCTCTCTTGTTAAAATATGTCCTGTCTGGGTTTTCCTCCCCATCTTCCATGCTGCTGCCTTAGTTAAGGCCTTCACCTACATAGTATTCTAATTAGTTTTCCCTTCATATGTCTGGTCTTTTAATGGGTCTCCCTGTCTCCCACGGAGAGACAGGGAGACCAATTTTGTTCGCTTTTAGTCCATTCTCTAACTGCTGCTAGAATAATCCTTTAGTGTCTTCCTAGTGATTACAAAATAAAATCCAAATCCTTTAGTGTGATATATAAGACCCTCAATGATTTCACACTTTCATGTCAAATAGTTTATACTGCTTTCTCTACCAGAAATGCTCCCTCACCTTGGCCTTATGGTAAGTATGTAGTCAATGGCTAACATTTAGCTCCAGATTCGCCTCCTTCAGGAAAATTTCCATGGCTGGTTTACCTTTTACTCCAATTTTGTTTTCTCCCATTCTTCCTACAAATATTTACTTCCTACAAATACTTAAATGTTTTCTTAAATACGTTGTCCCATGTATTAATATGCATATCCACCTTCCCTTACTAAGTTGTAAGCTCCTTGAGGGCAGGGACTTTGTTATGAACTTTCCTGTTTTTGCTCCGTTTTGTTTCATTGCTTATCATAACATATAATACCACAGTATTGTTGGTCAAATAAATGCATGAATGAACCAACCACTCATGAGCTATGCTAATAAAAGTGTACACCATTAGGAGCAAGGAAGATGATCATCCTTTCCCTGTTACTTTTTTATTTTGCCATAGTCCGATCATTTTTTAAAGAGGAGCATTGGTTTAAAAAAATTTCAGATCCCTTTTGTCCCTGAGAGTTGTTGATTCTACCTTATCCTCAATACTGAAGGGGATACCAAAGTATGATACAATATGCATTCACAGCATGCTTACAATATATCTGACTAAATGAGCATAACATCTGTGAAAAACTTAAGTAGAAATATGTTGGGAATGATAAGGCAATAGGTCTAGGCATCATATTAGTAATATAGCATCAATAAAAACTCAGGAGGGGGTATTTAGCTAATGGCTGCAGTGGTTAGACAAGGCTTTCTGAAGGGATGGGACTTGAGTTGGACTTTAGCAGATCAGAAGGCATGAGTAATGTAGTAATAACAGCAAAGAGACAGAATCGTAAACTGGTTAAGGGCATGGACTCTACAGTATAACTTTCTGGCTTTAAACTCAGCTCTCCTACTTACTTGACCATATGACTTTGGGCAAGTGACTTCATCTCTCTCGGACTCACCTAATTCTTCCATACATTTAAGATGGCAATCATATTTGCCTCATGTTGTGAAGATTAAGTAAGATATTGTATATAAAGAGTTTAGAAGAGTACCTAGTTTATAGTAAGTATTTAATGAGTCAATAAGTATTGGTTGTTTTTATTATGCCTTACATACCCTCAGGCTTTCACTTTGCCCAATTTGTTTTGCAAATTTCCTGAGAACTGGGAAGTGTTGTATTCCCATTTGACAGATGGTAAAACTGAGGTTCAGAAAAAGAAAGTGACTTATCAAAAGTGAGCTAATGGAAGTCAACCCTTCCTTTGGCCATTGGCTAGCCTTTCATACTCAGTGATATCACGGCTTCTCAGTAGTTGTTTTATTCATGTCTGGGAGACAAAGTGGAGTTGGGTGCAGCAAGGGGTTGCGGGGGATAATGGGAGAGGAAAAGTGTTGAGAAAAAGCCAGAACTATCTTCAGGATTTGATGTTTGTTAAGGATAGCCCAGCTTGGTGGATAAGGTTCCAGTCCTGGTCCTGCCTTTTAGGATACGAAAGAAGCATAACACACAACCCACCCTACTAGGTTAGAAATTAGTTGGGAGGATATAAAATAGTTCCATGCCTCACTCTCCTTGTCAGTCATCAAAACAAACAGAAAGTTCTAAAAGGTTTGAGTCAACCTCCTGAGGAGGAAAGGGAAGCTTTTCTGCAATTGATAACATCTGGGAAAATTGTTTCTGATTATGACTAATGGGTTCCAAGGCTAATTCTTCACATTCAGTGGTGTGCGGTTTAGGTCCGGTTGTCACGTTGAGATGAATATAGTGATAACTACAATTTTTTCACTCAAATCACTAATCAGAAGCCCCCACCCCCAGGGAAAAACTACATCCTGGATTACCATTTTCAAAAATTACTCTTATAGGCTCTATTTCAAAAGGGTTCTTCTTCCCTGTTTCTAGTCAAGGTCTCCGACTATAAAGCCACACACAGAAAAACAGCCTCACTATTTCTCCTTAAATCATTTCTCTCTTTCACTTCCCTTCCTTCTCTCTCTCTCTCTCTATTTCTTTCTCTCTCTCCCTCTCTCTTTCTCTCTCCCTATGTATATATTTTATCTCTCTCACATACACACATACACATACAAAAACAAACATTCACATACACACAGAGTCCCAGTTCTACTTCTCGACGTTAAACTGGTAAATCGATACTCTCTGATCAACAGTGTGATTTCTAAACACTACAGCCTAGAAAACCTTTTAAAAATGAAGTATAGGCCGGGCACGGTGGCTCACGCCTATAATCCCAGCATTTTGGGAGGCCGAGGCGGGTGGATCACGAGGTCAGGAGATCGAGACCATCCTGGTCAACAAGGTGAAACCCCGTCTCTACTAAAAATACAAAAATTGGCTGGGCATGGTGGCGTGCATCTGTGGTCCCAGCTACTCGGGAGGCTGAGGCAGGAGAATTGCTTGAACCCAGGAGGCGGAGGTTGCGGTGAGCCGAGATTGCGCCATTGCACTCCAGCCTGGGTAACAAGACCGAAACTCTGTCTCAAAAAAAAAAAAAAAAAGAAATATAGTTCAAAAGCCTATGCCAGATCAACCAACAAGTGCTTACCATGTGCCAGATAGTCTGCATTTTTAACAGGACTCCTATGACAAAACTTGGTTGGGGAATATTATTCATCTCTATCTTGCAGACAAGCAAACTGAGGCTTGAAAAAGGCAAGAAACAATGTAACTAGAAACCAGTCACAAGTATCTCTGGCTCCAAAACCACATGCTCTGTACATTAAAGCCTCTCATTGTGGAAAAGAATAGAAAGCCAACCAGGCACTATGAATGCTAAACCTATATCTGTCTTATTTAATTCTCACAACAAACTGATGAGTTGGCTAGCTCAGAAGAAGAAGCCAAGGCTCATGCTCACTTCCACAGCACATAAACTAAAATTGGAAGACTGAATAGATGATTAGCATGGTCCTTATGTAAGGAGAATACATAAACTCGTAAAATACACTGTATATTTGTATATTTGTACAATAAAAGGACTAGCAACATGAATGAATGCATAACTTCTATACTCAACATGTTCAATGAATCTCATACACATAATACTGAGTGAAAAAAATGAGACAAAAAAAAGAAAACATAGTATATGATTTCGTTCATATAAACTTTAAAAAAAGACAAAAGTAAACTATAGTGTTTATATAGAGAGAAAAGCAAGCAAGCTATTATCTATTATTTCATATTCTCATTCATATTCCTTCCTTCCACTTCTGTTTCTTTTATTTATGTATAATATATCTCAAAATAAAATTTCATTTTTTTGGCCCTAAGGAAGGATCTGGGACCTTTGGCAAGAGAAATTTTACAGGTTCCACCTTGTGATGCATCCTAAGTATAGACATGAGAATTGTGAGAGGAAGTAAAGGGGTGGGCTAGGGACAGTTACTTTGCATGGCATGCTCTGAGGAAAAGCATTAGCTCACAGGGAAAAATAGGTCTTCATAAAAGTATGTTACATGCCAAAAAATGCCCCATGACTCATTGTACTCCAAATCCCTATAATGAAGAACTCCAGATACCCCAATACACCAAAATGCTAATGTTGAAATTTCATAAATATGAACCCCTATTTCTTGCTCTAGTTCAGGAGTTGTGGGAACCAGAGAACGATTGCTGGTAGCATGGTGTATCGGGGGGAAAAAGCAGAGCTTGTGTGTCTGACCAACTTGAGATCATTTCCTAAACTGTGTAACCTTAAGAAAGGTACTTCCTTTTTCTGAGTCTCAATCCCTTCATAAATGGGGATATGAAAGGCTTAGCGCACATTAAGAATCAATCAAATTAAAATGGGATAATTGTATTACCTAACTTACAAAGTTATTTTAGGAAAGCACCTGACACATAGAAGATACATAGTAAATAAGTTTTCTTCATTTCTTCACTTAGTGGCCCCTGCAAGGCCTCAAAAGGTAAAGCAGAAAACTCAATGTCAGATGACTTGAGAAGATATGTGCTAGTTTACTTTTGGAAAGGCATATTTCAAAGGCTACAAATTTATCATTGTCAAAAGAAGACACTCCTGAAAGCATGAAGTAAATCTGCTACCTACTTTAAGTTCTGTCTTATATGGGGGAACAGAAAAACAGAAAGAAAGGGTCTACCTGGCTATATTTCTTCATCAAAACAATATTCTGCTGCTTCAAAATCTACTTTGTGTTAAACCTCCCTACCCACAAATCAATGTAGCACACAACCATAGGAGCTCAAAGGAATAAAATTCTAATAACATTGAAGCAACTATCCTTTGGTATATATTAAAACATCTTGCCTATCTCCTTTGGCTAACATTACTTGGAGAAAAGTTATTCCATGCTGATTATTGAAAGCCAGTATAATATAAGAAACTGTAAAAATACCAGGTGACTCCATTGAAACAGATGTGATGCCCAAAGCTAATTATGAGTATCATCTTTTTGCGACCCTAGGGAGGTATCAGCGATTGCTGTTGATGTGCCTTTTAGACTGAACTACCTGCCTAACCCACCAACCACAGAACATGCAGCTGATATGCTAAAACTACTGTAAAGGATTTTGGTTTGGTAGCCAGAGAGACTTGTGTCTGAACCCTGGCTATGACACTAGCTTGGTGGACTTTAACAAGTCACTTTTCTCTCAGTCTCAGTTTCCTCATCTCTCAAACAGGAATAATAACAGTACCTGATTCACAAAATTATTGTGAAGACTCAATGACATTATGTTATATAAAATTCTGGCCAGGCACAGTTGCTCACACCTGTAATCCCAGCACTTTGGGAGGCCGAGACAGGCAGATCAGGAGTTCGAGGCCAGCCTTACCAATACGGTGAAACCCCGTCTCTACTAAAAATACAAAAATTAGCTGGATGTGGTTGTGGGTGCCTGTAGTCCCAGCAACTCGAGAGGCAGAGGCAGCAAAATTGCTTGAACCCAAGAGGCGGAGGTTGCAATGAGCCAAGATTGCGCCACTGCACTCCAGCCTGGGTGACAGAACGAGACTCCATCTCAAAAAATTAAAATTAAAATAAACAATAAAAGTCCTAGCATGACACTTCACATCAGTTAGGCACTCCAATGTTAGTTTCCTCTTGCCATGCTCATTAAAGCATCTACCTTATTTCAGTTAATAAATTTAGCTGCAGGTTTGAGCATTCCCAGTTTGTAGTTGACTAGATCCTAAGATACTGTAGCATGCTCTGTTTCAAAATGGCTCAGGCCTGGATCTTTATTTAACTTCACTAAACCCGAGCTCAGAAAAACTGTCCAGCCAAACGATATTCAGCTTGAAGACTGTTTTGGTATGGCCTATGAGCTAAAAATGGTGTTCACCTATGTAAAGGATTGCAAGAAAAAAAAGAGGATGAGGAAGAAGTAAAAGAGAGTATGTGGCCTACAAGCCTAAAAACATTTACTATCTAACCCTTGAAAAAAAAAAAGCTTGTCAATTGTCAAACTCTGCACTAGTCCCTAGTGAGTAGGAAAATCACACGTAATTATCTGTCTGTGGGATTACTTTTTTAAAATCTGTCCTTTCTTTCTTCTTTTTCTTGTAACAAATTCTCACAAATCTGGGTTGGCCTGTGATCTAGACTTTGCCAAGAAAAATATTCCACTTTCTCTGGTGACAGTGATTGATCAATTCCAATTCGTGTCAATCTCAGTCTTTCACTGAGATGTACATTCTAGGACAAAAGGAAGTTTCATCCACTGAAGTTGCAGAAATGAGGCTCTTGTCAGCCATGTTTCCTGGCAAGTGGACAAAACCTGTCTGAAGTAAGAGAGCATGAAAGAAATTTGAATAGAGAAGCAAAGATAAGAAACAGGCAGAGAAAAGGAGAGTCCTAGCAGCTTTGAGTCTCTCGTTCCATTCACCAAAATCTTGGTTCCTACTGCTCTTCAATTCAATGAGTTACCCTAGTTCTTCTTCCTAGAGTATCCCAGTAATTCTTCCTAAAATAAAGCCAATAAATGCCTTTTTGTTTAGCTACGTTTTGTATAAGTTAAACTGAGTTGATTTACTGTTGCCTATAACAACATACAGCCTGTTCCAACAGAGCACAGTTCCGAAATCCAGTACGACTGGAATCAAGTTAATATCCTATTTCTTAACTATATGATCCTGAGCAATTTACATGATTCTCTTTTCTCTTTTGTAAAACTAGTACAATAATAGTTACATTGCAGGGTTTTTTTGGTGTTTAGATGTTGTGAGTTTCCTTCCCCAATCTAATAGATCTAACAGATCGGCTGAACTACAGACAGGGAAACCTTCTGTAATTCCTATCTCTTTAAACGTTTGGGGGTTACTTATGAGCATAAGAAACTCGCCAGACCTCCACCATATAAATCAGACCGTGGACTCACCAGCCAAAATGGCAAGTGTAGTTTAGCAGCTTGAGCTCAAGAACAAGCCACTGAAACTTCTTCAACCCTTCCTGAACCAAGTCAGTTTCCTCTTGCCATACCTATGCAGCCTCTTAAACTAACTCTAATCCTCCCAGATTTTCCAGTCAATTAAATAAGCTTTGCTAAGAGCTGATCCACGATTTTGAAGTGAAAAGGTGTTCTGACATCACTACATGGGGAAAAAATCAAGATCATCAAACCTCTTCAAGTGAGAAGCTTCATTAATCTTGAGAGAGAACTACATTAGCTTTAAGAGAAAGCTAGGTGGAGAAAGAGTAAGAAGGAACCTCAAGTTTTTCACTTAGACCAAGAAAGTCATATACATCAGAAAGCAACTAAGCCTGTCTGTTCTGCCCTTAGGCCAGGCTCTCCTGTGGTGAAATAGGCTCAGAAAAACTCTTTACCTTGGACTACCTGATTGAAACCTGAGGGTAGGACTCAGGTGCAATCCATCAGGGGAGGATGAGTGGGAGATTTGCAAGGGATAAGTTAACCCAACCTCAATCTTGCCCCAAAAAGAAGATGGGTTCCCCTACACTGAAGACAGGACTAAGAACAGTAGTCCTTTCACCCTCTCCCTACCTATACAAGAGAGAAAATCGACCCAAGAGATTTCAACAGAGCCTAGCATTCCCACTAGCCATATAAAAGGTAGGGAGAGGGAGTGACCAACACAAAGGCAAAACCCTCTACTGATCAAGTTGCTGAGCCCAAGGCAGAAAATGTGGGAGTCCAGAAATGCTTATCAAGTAAGGCCTAACATTCCAAGGATGATCCAGGCTTTCTTAGGATATGCTTCATTGACTTAGTTATTGTACCATTGGATCAGCATGGAAAATGAAGCAGTAAGCAAATCTACAAAGTGCTCTCTCATGAACATAGATGCTGAGATATTAAAAGCATTATCAAATCAAATCTAGCTTTATATAAAAGAAAATGCATCACAAGCAAGTGGGGTTTGTTCTAGGAATGTGAGTGTGATTTAGCATTCAAAATCATTAACATAAAAAGGTGGGAATTATGTGATCATTTAAGGAGATGCAGAAAAACATTTGAAAAAAGTAAACACCCATACAATATAAAAACTATTAGCAGAGTAGGTATAAAATGGAACTTCCTTAATCTCATTAAGACTATCTACAGAAACCTATAGCAAACATCACACTTAGTAGTGAAGTATCAAAAGCTTTCCTCCTGAGATCAAGGGTAAATAATGAATTCCTACTATCAGCATTTCTACTCAACATTATACTGTAGTTATAGCCAGTGCAATATGATAAGAAAAATAACAAGCATAAGGATTAGAAAGGAAAATATAAAACTGTTATTATTGTCAGGTGACATATTTGTATAACATTTAAAATTATCTGTAAATTATTACAATTAATAAGTAAAATTTTCAAGGTTACTGGATGCAAGGTCAGTATACATAAGTTACTTTTATTTCCGCATAGCAGCAACATATAGCAATTTAAATTTATATAAAAGATGACATTTACATTAGCTATCAAATACCTAGGAGAAAATCTAATGAAAGAATTGCAAGGCAAACAAAACATAATTGAGAGAAATTAA